AACAACAACAACAAAGTCCACCTGGGCTCTTCTCCTTCTTGAGAAGTTGAGTCTCTTGACCCGCTGCTTAAAGACTAAATTATGTCTCTGTTTTCTTTCAGTCATCATAGCCAGGCACTGCAAGCTGGGTCTCGCGTAAGCGAATCAAGTCTTCTTCATCTTTTGCAAGCAAAATTGTGCCATCTGCAAAACTCAGGTTGTTAATGAGTCTTCCTTGAATCCTGATGATACAGTTTCTTCATAAAGTTCACCTTCTCTGATGAATTTCTCAGCATACATATTGAACAGAAATGGGGGAAAGATACAGTCCTCAAATGTACTTGTGATTTTAAGCCATGCAGTGTTCTCCTGTTCTGTGCAGACAACTGCTTCTTGGTTTGAGGCCACTAGCTGCTCCATGGGAGAAGTATGGACAATCTTTTTTTGGTTTGATCTGGTTTTTAATTTTATTATTTTTTGTGTGTACCGTCAAATCAGATCTGATTGGTACAGGAGGAGTTTGCCCCTCCTTCCCCAGCAGAGGATGTGGTGGATTTGAACCATTTACCTCTGGGATTGCAGTGCATCTATCTTCTTGTCACTAGGCTACCAGAGCTCCCTAAGTACGGGCAATCTTATCTCATGTGATTAACTGCCTCTGAAAACTTGCTGGAGGGCCAGCTATGGGTCAGTCCTGACTCTATGGTACACAACAACAACATTGCATTGGTCAAGTTTGCTGTCAGGGACCTCTCCAAAATACTAAAGAGTGAGTTTGAAGTCTAAGGTGTGCCTGATTCAGGCCACAGTCTTCTCAATCACATGCTACGCATCTAGAACTGGACAATGAATAAGGAAGACAGAAGAAGAATTAATTCCTTTGAGTTGTAGTACTGGAGAAGAGTACTGAATATACTATGTATTGACAAAAGAGCAAACAGATATGTCCCGGGAAGGGTGGAGCCAGAGTGTTCCTTAGAGGCAAGGATGACAAAGTTCTGACTGTCATACTTTGCACATGTAGCTAGGTGAAGCTATTCTTTAGAAAGAAATATCATGCTTGGAAAGATGGAAGGTCAGTGAAGGAGAGAAAGACACCCTATGGGATGGGCTGACACTGACTTCAGCAGGAGACTCTCAATGTCTTGGAGCTGATAAAGATGGTACAAGATAGGACAGGTTTCAGGATGGCTATTCTTAAGGTTGCTAAGAGTCATACTCAACTTGATGGCACCTAACAACATAGTCACATATCACTGGTAATCAATGATTGTATGAAACACAATGTAAATGAAAGATTGTATATTATAATATGTACATGAATGGGGGAAATTACAGAGTTGATCTGATTAGCAAATCTTTTTCCAACTCCCAGGGAATGAGACACTTATAGAAACAGTGTCTGAGAACATAAAGCTGAGCTCTGTAAGTATTAAATTTTAAAGAGATCTGTCATGGAAAGTGTGAATACCAGTTCTGAAGCTCTTCGAAGCTCTGTCTGACATACTTTGGGCATGTGCCCTGGAGGGACCAGTCCCTGGAGGAGGACATCATGCTTGGAAGGGTGAAAGGACAGCTAAAGAGAGGAAGACTGCAGATATGGATTAACACAGTAACTGGGGTTTTGAGATAGGTGTGTCGGAGTCAGGGAGACTGGCTCAGGATAGGACAGGTCACTGTGAGTCACAGGCAACTCAATGGCACATAACAACAACAACCATCAAATTATTATAAAATTAGTATCAACATTCCCACTAACTGGTAGTTCTCCTTCTATCCTTAGGAGGAGTCTCAACTTTACACTGTAAGAGTTTTTATTGTAGAGATAATCAAACACTTATAAAAAGATTTCGTAGTTGTAATAGCCTGTGAATCAGTATTCAGTACTTCAAAATGTGGCCTTTTTCATCTTCATATATGACTTAAAGAGGTTTTGATAGAAACCAGGATTGGGTCCACCATCATAAGTTCTCATATCTTTTATGAAAAATACAGTAGACAGCAATAAACCTTTCCTCTGTACTTAGAGCCAATCCAATTCATTTACATGTGTTACCTCCCATGATCCCCTGAAAGGTACCATTATTATTCACTTTTGACAGATGCCCACTTTATACTGAGGCATAAAAAGAATGGGAACGAAGCTTAAGTTCCACTATCTAAGTAGAAGAGCTAGACCTGAAAGGCAAGGTTTATTGTACTCCAACCTCATGCTTCTAAGAATTTTTCAGACTTTTTATATTGGAAAGCAATTTGTCTATTATTAGGACTAGAACAGCAGTTCTGCACTAATCTAGATGTTTTGACATGTTGTCTTGTTCAATTCTTCCTATGACTCTGTGAAACAGACATTATAAACATTGATTTGTAGACTCTATCTGGGTTTGTGTGTATGTGTGTGTGTGTGTATAAATTACTGTGATAGAGAGGTTATTAACCAACCAAACTGGCTGGCTTTCCTCCCCACCCTTGATCACAGATGCCAAGGTCACAAGAGAGAATACCACAAACTGGTTTGATTAACTTCTTGGCTGAAAAGCAGCTAGTCCTAATCTTCAGAGAGTTAGAGGTCAAAGCATGACTCTGTCCTTGTAGTCTAGGACTATCTGTTTAAATATTTCCCTGAAATCACACATGAACATGTTAATCAGCATGAGATTCCTGAGCCTGGAAGACCACATAAGTATAGCAAGCCTTGGACAGCAGATACTGCCTGGTTCTGAGTCTCCAGTTCATCTGGACCCCAATTCCCAGCACCAAAGGAATTATCTGTCTCTATGCTGAGTACTGACTTACTAAGGAAAAGGTTTAAAAGAACTGACTTCAAGGACCTGCTACTGAAAGGCAAGTCTATGTGTTGCTAGATTCATATTGCTAATAATCCCTCATTTCTCTGTCTTAACGTAGATCATATTTTCAGGATATTTAAACTAGATTAGATCAAGTGTTGTTGTTACCAGGTCCTCATGAGTCAAATACAACTCGTAGTGTGAACAATGGATAGGAACCCTGTCCTACCCTGTGTCTGACACACTTGAGCCCACTGCTACTACAGTCACTGTCAATCCACTTGGTTGAGGGCCTTCCTCTTTTTTGCCGTCCCTCAACCTTCCCAAGCATAATGTCCCTTTCCAAGGAATACCTTTTCCTAGCAACATGTCCAGAGTATGTGAGACGAAACTTGATCATCTTTGCTTCCAAGGAGGATTCTAGCTGCACCTTCTCCAAGATACATCTATGATAGTCTTAAAATTCTGTTCAGGTGCAACATAAACTAATCTAATTGCCACCTCATGGTCACTTGGTTGATTTGAACACTCATTCAAGCAGCATGAGCACAGAATGAAGTGGCAGACTGAGTTCAAACCTTTTCTCTTCTTCCTGGGTCCTGTTTTTATTGTTTGTTTTCTGCAGAAGAACATAGTATGGCAATGATCAGGAGAGGATCAGTCTATGCACAATGACCACAGGAAAGGTGCTGTAATTGTTAATGGTCACAGTGTGTGTGTGTGTGTGTGTGTGTGTGTGTGTGTGTGTGTGTG